TCCACAAGGACGCTAAGCCATTCTTGGGGTCCAGGGAGGGGTTCCCTAAGGCTGCCAAAGGAACGCTAGGGCTCTCAACTAGACGCAACTCCCAAGAAGAAACAAACCAGAACAGGAAACCAGCCATGTTAAGAACACCCGCTCTGCAGATAAACATGGAACCCGAAATGGCCAATTGAGGGATCTCTAGGGCCTGATGCTCGGGCTTCATGTTGATTTGCAGAGGAGCAGGCAACCCCCTCACAACATGTGGATTGTGGTTTAACCATAAAGTTGCTTAAACCAATGAAAAAACTACCGTCTCAAATTTTGAGAATCGACATGTTTACTTTAGACTCTGGCAATCCGGGCCCTCAAATATGGTGGTTCTCGAAGTCGTCGATATCATGTTGTATTATGTTTGAAATTGTTGCCTTCTTGTTCTTTTTGGGGGGGTGACAGATTGAATGCAGTTAGCCACTGTTTAAACATCCTCTAGGTCCTCCAGTAGAGATGATGGAATAAGGGTTCCCTTTTTTCTGTGGTTTTTTTTTCTGTAGTCTATTTTCTGTAGTCTATTTTAGTAGGGGACCCTCCCAACCAAAAAAAGGGAGAGAAAGGGCACTACTGGGGGACCTAGTCCTTCTTTCCTTTCAGTTTTTCGGGTGTCCCTAAGAGTTACTTGCGCAATGGCCTGCACGAACTCGGGCTGATCGTCGAACCTCAAATCGTGGGTCCGGTTCCTGGCCAGCGGAAGGGTCTCTCAGAACGGCGTCGGTCCGTCTTGGGATCCCTGCTAAAAGCAACAACCTTTAGTGGGCTGCCCTCAGATCCCCCGCTAAAAGTTCAACTTTTAGTGGATTAAATGGAAACTACCACTAAACACTAAAAAGCTAAAAGGCTAAGAAACCAGATGGCTGGGAGCCACCAAGTTTAGTGGGTTAAATACGGAAACTCAACCACTAAGCCAACTAAAAAGCTCAAAAGCTGAGTGCATGGCTGGGAGCCACCAAGTTTCTCAAATTTGCTTTCCGTTTGGTTTCTTCTAAAACCACACCAAAAGGGGGTCCTTTCATTTTGAGAAACACCCATCTGGTAGAGGGGTGGGATAGGGCTCGAATCGAGCTTCGTCTCCAATTCTGCAAATCATTGAGGAAAGGCGCTTCCACGCTTTAAACACGACCTTTTCCAAAATTCCCAAAGGCTCCTGGGGCTTTCAATGCAAGACCCGACCCCTCCAAACACCCGCTTCCTAAATCAAACGAATTGGATTATCCTGATTGCTTTTGAGTACAAGCCAGCGCCCTCACAACCTTCGCCCAACCAAGAAGCTCGAGGTGTAATCAACTTGCTGGTTCTCAGGGAAGCAACGTTTGGGTTCCGGGAATGAAACGATTGGGATCCTCTTAGGAAACCACTGGCTAGTTTTTGCATGGACCCCAGTTGTCCGACCCAGTTCCTCGCAAATCTTCAGGTGGCCAAATGTGCCGCTTAGTTTGGCAGGCTAAGTGGTTCACCTGGATGTGGCTCAAAAAAATGATATTTAAGTGCCAGTGGACCGGAGGGTTTTTGCCTTCCATTTACCAGGGCGCCCTTTTGGGCCCATTTTGGAGCCACACCCCCAGGTTCTTTTTTGCCCGTGGCCACTGGAAGTTAGTACTAGGGTTGGGCTAAGAGGTTCCTCTGATATGGGCTGTCCGCAACCACCAGAGGGGTACCCTCACAAAGAGACAGACCCGCATGGAAGTACAAAAGGATCCAATTCCCAAAGCAAGGCTCTGCAAACCCCCCTGAACAGGTGTTTCACTTGCCACCCCCTCCAAAAGAGAGAACCTGTCCTTACCCAAGGAACCTCTCAAACAAAAGGGAAACAAGTGCCACTGAACAACTGGGGCAACCAACTCCCAAAACCTGGTGGATATGCCACCCATGCAATCAGGGTTCAACTTATTCTTTGCGGCAACTCACAAGTTTCCAGTAAGCAGGTTAAAGTTAACGATCCCAGCAAATAGCCAAGAATCGGAATCAAAAACAAAGGTGACCAACATGCCCCAACCCTGACACTTTTAGCCAACCCAAATAGGGTACCGAGCCTAGAAGACGAGCCACCCATGGACAAGACCAGCTTTCCTCTGGGTATGCCAAACTGGTCCCTGGAGAGTTTTGGCACCCTTCAGGGTGGGACAAATCATGGGACGGACGTGGACAATCCTCACATCCAAAAACTCATAGGGAGAGAGCCGTGACCAACCAGAATTTTTAATCGACGCTGAGGCGCGCGGCGCGATTGGCGCGCTCACCGAAGAATAAAGAAAAAGACAAAAAAAAGGAGAAGAAAAAAAACGGGGGAGAAAAAAAAAAAAAAACGGGGGGGGGAAATAAACCGAGGCGCTGCTTCAGCGCGATGGACCGCGAGGGCGTCAGCTTCCCGGCGCTCCTTGCCTTCTGCGCCCAGGCCTCTTCGATGGCCCGCGCCTTCCTCGGCCGCGCAGGCGGCGGTTTTGCGGGGTTTGAGGTCGACCCCCTTCTTGGTGGGTTTAAAAAACAGGGAAACCCACAGTGAACACCGGAAACATAAAAAAAATGGGGGTCATCTCCCTCCCCCAACCAAAAAAAAAGACGAGCAAGCGCCGGCGATGAATTTCCATTCTTCGGCCGGGTCGCTTGACGCGGTACTCGTCGCACATGGCCTGGCGCTCCTCCAGCAGCGCCACCCGCGCCGCCGCCTCCGCCGCGGCCGCGCCGGGCTTCGGGACGATCCATGGACCCGAGCCTCGGAGTTGGGAGTTGCCCGGGGAGTGGCCCTGGGGTTTTGGGAAACCAATCATAGTCTCCACTTGTTCTTAAGGGAAACCAAAAGGAAGCCAATGATAGTCTCCAAATTTCGGCCGGGAAGCCAAAAGGAAGCCAATCAGAGTCTCCTTTTCTTTTTTCGGGATTGGGAACAGATAGGACTGAGCACAGCTTCCTTTTGGCAAGGAAGCCAAAGGAAGCCAACCATAGGGTTCTCTGGCTGGTTCGATCAGCAGGGAATGAATTGGAATGACTCCTTCTATGAACCAGTTGGCTTCTTTGTGTTTCCCAAAGGCATTCCAGGTGGCTGACTCATGATCTTGGTTCTGGCCAAAAACCATGCTTTATGTGTCCTTGAAGGGAACCCAGGACGCTGAGTTTTGGGGGCAGGTTCCTTTTGGTAAGGCAGGGAAACCAAACGGAAGCCAACCATAGTTTCTCCCATTTAAAGGGAAACATCTAACCACTCTTGGCCAATTCAAAGGTCTTTGCTTATGCAGATAGTTATTTTGCAAATGGGTTGACACCTGTGGAAAGATTTTGCCTTTGGAGTCTGGGTGCTGATGCTGACCAAGTTGCAGCTGGTGACTCTCACCCCTTTTACTCAATGGTCGGCCTCCTCGGGATTGCACTGGGGAAGCCCAAATTCAGGCTCTATCTGAATCTGGAAATAGCCCGGGATGGGGTAACTTCGAAGTGGGGTTAACTCCAGGGTGCAGGAGAGCAAAACGTTCATTTAGGTACAGAAGTAGGGGGACTCCAAAATGGTTTCTCTTGATTCCCCTTGAACCAACCTGAAGAAGGGTACCAAACCCATTTGGGTGGATTTTTAGGTGGTTTTGGACCCCTCAAAAAGGCCAGCCGGTTTTCCATGTGGTTACCCTAAACCACATCATTCTTGACCATCCAACAAGGCCAACCAGATTTCCATGCGGATTCCCTTTTGAACGCTTACCGCCAAAATGGGGATCCCCTAAACAAAAACCGACACCGAGCCGCTGGAATCCAGCGAGTTCCGCGCCATACAGAAGTCACCGGCCACGGCGGCAGGGTGCGGCCATTGGAGCAAAACGCTCTGCACCCAATCGCCGTTCTAAGACCCTGTCAGAAAAACTAGTTCCTCCGGTACAGAGGATAGAATAAGCTTCTATTTTAGGGAAGCCCTCAACTGGGGACTTGGGAGACACTTGTTTTACCAAATGTCAATTGAGAAACTTGCGACAAAAAAACACAACACATGAAGGGAAACTGAGATTCAAAGTGGTACTCACTGTTGGGGCACACACACCAATTGAGAAACAATGTTTAAAATACATTTTAAAGGGCCTAGATCCAATGTCCTGGTTGGTTTGACCATAAAACCACTTCCAGATGGTTGTTGGTTTCACATGCTCTGCGAGCTGAATGCGGGATCCGACATGAGATCGTCTGCAAGCTAAAGGACCCAACTTCTTCAGGTCGAAAGCTCGGCTTCGGTTTCATTGCGGGATTGCGGGTGGTTGCAGATCACTGCTCAAACCCACAGGCCGAGGACAGTGGCACGGCAAGATGAAACCATGTGCGGTTTCACCAAAGAGTTTCTCCATTCCACAAGAATCCCAGAAATCAAGGACTCCGGTACAGGAACGCCAAGCTCGTTTTACCCCCGAATCGGTGAACCGGCCCCACGGGAGCTTGAGCCAAGAAGCAAAGCCCAGCTTGTGGGGCGGAGGGCCCTGATTTGTGGGTTTTAAGGGAAACAAACGGCACAACTTTCCGGGGCCGTCCAAATCCCAAAAAAGGACACACCCACATCAGGATTAAGTCAAAAATCACTGGAAGGACAACACGGTTGGTAACTGCTTAAGAGAAGCCAACTTGAAAACCCAAACCATGATCTTCCCGAAGCCAAATACCTAGTCAGCCCACCGGAGGGTTTTGGGAAACACAAGCCAACCGGTGCAAATAGCGTCTGGTGTCTATCATCTACCCTTTGCTCAGATGCCCAGTGGATGTCCATGGGCGAAAAAAAACAGTCTCGGCATCTTTCTTTTTGGTTGGTTGACTTTGAAGAAATCGGAGCCCTTTTGCTGATCTTTCATCCACCCTTTTGCTTCTCTTTGGCTGCATTTATGCATTGAGGAAGCTCCTTCCGGAAAAAAATATCAGAAGGAAGCGACCCTCTGGTTGCCGCTGGGTTTTGCTTCTCCGCCGGGCGTCTCTTCCCACACCCGAAAAAAGCAGCGCGCCTCCAGGGTCTCTCCCGTGGTACCGGGCCTCGGCGCTGCGGAACCCCGCGGAGGTCCACCAGCTATGTTTTTGTTGGAGTTTTACAAAACTGCGTGACCTAAGGGTCCAGTGGGTTTAGGAGCTTAAACCCTAAACCCTTGGTTACCTGAGGGTTGAGGGTTTAGGGTTTAGGAGCCTAAACCCTAAACCTGGACCTGCCATAGCTGAAATCACTGTCTATGTGCGCTTGTCTTGCAACTTTCGAAGGGGAAACCACTCAGCTCGGGCCTTCCTCCCAATCCCATCAGACATTCGACAGGCTTCCCTTTCCCCGATAGAAACATCAGCAAAGAAAGCTCAATAGCTATGACCTAGGTGATGTTAGTTCCTGTTACTTGGCACACCTCAAGCCCTCTCGTGCCCTCGGACGCGGGTCAACAAATCTACGAGAAATGGCAAAACCTCCGATTTGCAACTCTTTGCTTGTGTGGGTTTGCATCGATTTATTGATCCACCCCGTCCAACTTAAACCCGGTCGAGATGTATGTCTTTGCTAAGGGTACCTCTGGGTTGTTGCTTTTCGTGGGAACGTTAAATTCCATGCTGAGAGTAAGAAAGCCGAAATCCATCTTGGGGTACTGACTCCAATTGTTGAAGAACCATACCTCGCTTCATGAGACTGAGTGAAAAAGCCCAAGCTGATTGTCTGCCACTAAGTGTGTCTTGCCAAAAGTCTCAAAGTCCATGAACTCAGTGAGTTCAATTAATATCGCCTTAACAGCAAGAGGAGAAGGGGATTCCTATGTCTTTTGTAGCTTGACCTATCCCTTTGGCTGCCCATGGCTTCGACCGAGGCATCGGCTTGTCGGGGTCGAAGAGCAGCAAGATCAGGTCCGAGCGCTTTGCCCACCACCGCCTTCGGTCCATCGGCGGGTGCTGCTGGGTTCGGGTTTCGGTAGGCGGAGCCCAGGTGAGACGCGCGGTTTCTTCTCTTCTTCTTTTTTTTGGGGGGGCCAGGGTTTTTTGTGGGCGGCATGGGGGGGGAGGGTTTTTAACAGTTTCACTTGAGGCAGCCAAGTTGGCGTTACCAGCGCTTGGTCCAATAAAAGTACCTCAGGAGCTGTTGTTTTGTTGAATGGGTGTACGTTGGGCACCTGGTGGTGTCTTTTTTGCTGAGCTTTCTGTCGAGCTTGCGCTCGGCACTTGTTGAATACCAATATCATGGAGATGGGTTTGTTTTCGAAGGGTTGTGGAACCCACAACACCGACTTCGGTGTTCTGTTGGTGTTCCTTCAACCCCCCGCAGCAAAACATGCAGGAATCAGGCTGTTCGGACTTAGGACCGTCCAGTGGCTAGCTGGCTGTTGCCTGGAAACGTTCTCATTTGCATGTCTTTGAGTCATCATCAAACCTAGGTATAACAATTGGTGGACCCAAAAAGCACGGTCATCTAAGGCGGATATCCCCACCCATCTATGGTTGGTACATGGCAATTCTCCCCTGCCAGGGTCCTTGGAATTGTTGAAGGCAGCTGGGAAACTAGCAAGACTTCGGGGAGTAAGTCAGCGCCTGCCTTTCTGAAGCTTACATTTCCACCAGAAATTTGGAGAGACTTTGGAGACCGGGTGGGTACTCCCAAAGGCCACGGGCTTCAGGGTCGGTGCTTGTGACGCTGACTTCCTTGAAACGTGTGACTCGCCTGCTATCAACTATGGAACCTGCTTGGAGGGCTGTGGAAGACTAAAGCGACCTGCCCACTTCTATGGAAAGAGCTCGGAAGTCGGCTCTCCCATATATGCTCCCTAACTTAAAACAGTTTTTGGCCAGGGATCTGGAGAAGCTAGCCGAGAACCAAATGCCGGTCTGCGTCGCGCTCCAGGACGTTCATAAAGCTTCAAGACAACGCAACAACACTGTGCTCCTGTTGTGGTTGGCATTTCGCGAATTTCCCGCAGAATATATAGAACTCCCATGTAGCTGGCTTCCATAGTTGCAGGGAGGTACTACAAGGGGCAAACTAAAATACAAACACTATTCGCTTGTGTTGCCAGAGTCTGCTGAGTTGACTGGCCAACATCAGTTTGAACTCTTTGGGCCTGTACTAAGCTGGCAAACCTACTACGTAGGTCCTCCAGTAGTGAGGTTCCCGGATAGAATAAGGGTGCCCCTTTTCTGTCTTCTATTTTAGCAGGCTACCCCTCCCCCAAAAAAGAAACGGCAAAATAGAGATGGGCACCCAAAGGCTGGGGCATCTCGCCCAGCCAACCCCCACGTCGCAAGTTCTCGCCGGCGACTCGGAATCGGAGCCGAGGTCTCAGGTGCCCGGACACCACCTCCACGAAGTTGTAGCCCCGGGCCTTGGACGTGGTCTGGTTGTTCCCCGGCCTCGGATTCCGATTCCGCGGCTTCGGCGGATTTGGTCCAATTGTTTGGCGTTTTAACCTCGGTGCCGGCCGAAGGCCGCAGGGCCGTCCTTTTGCCGACCAAATGAAGGCAATCTCCATACCTCCCACTCTATTT